TTTTTTACACTGTAGTGGATGAGACAACACCAAATAGTGTTGCATGCGCTGCCGCGGTCGCTGCAACGCCTTCTCAATTTCACCAGTAGCGCGCCAGCACCTCTCTTGTTGCTGTTGCAATCCGGTTTCACTGATAAACCCACTACAACGTGTTTTTCATCCGTTGCAACGCCTGAAACGGTAGAAAACGTGAAAAATGTGTGATTTATGATTTGAAACGTTTCGAATCATTACATCCCTTGGTGATATGTTTTCACACATATCTGAACACTTATTAGCAATAGATATAACAATTGTAATAGATATATTAATCCATGAAGAGATACCTTTACATTGAAAACATACCTTTATGTGGATGGTTGTGATGTTTGAAGATAATGTGTTTATTCATGAACTGACACATCTGTTTTTATTAATTTTCCAGAAAATTCAAAGACTTAATTCATGTTATGGAACTCAATATTATTGTTAAATATTGTGTTAAAGAGTTTGTTGTATCTTAAGGATAACTTACAATAAAAACTCACTAACAAACTTTAAAAAATGAGTACAAATAAAACTTTAAAGAAAAATATTTCTATCCGTCTCAAACTCAAAAATTATTTGCTTTCTTTTCTTCCTCTACACTCATATTCTCCAACACGGAATTTTTTCTTTTCGTTTTAAAATTTTATTTAAATAGTAACTACGGAATTTTTAGAATGATGTGGCATTAGCAGCAGCCATGTGGCAATGTCACTTTCATACATTTGGGTCGTAAGTTTTACGAGTCGCAACTTACGATTGGCCACTGTTCTCTAAGGCCCACGTGTCCAAATCGTCTGCCGTACGTAAATGACAATTTGATAATCACATGGCTGCTGCTATGCAGTAAATGACACGTGGGCCCCGGCGGCACCCACAGACAATTTGCTAGGAAAATCTTGTTTGTCACACGGCGGCTCCACCGTTGTTTCAGACCACAAATGACAATTTGTCATTTAACCTTGATCACACCACAATCATGTAAAGCAAAAACCTATATACATATCTAGGAAAATCTACAAAAACATGACGGAATAAGAAACAAAAAAATATCAACATCTTGTTTGTTTTTGCTCGTTGATGAACAATGTCTTAACTTGAAATAGGAAATATTTAAAAATCTAAATAAGCGGAAACATCAAACAAAACAGTAAAGACTTTTAATCTTAGAATATATACATTATACATTTGTATTCCCAATAAAATTTCAACTCAACAAAAGTTAAGACCAGTGTGATTCAATCAAAATGTTTGTACACAAATCAATGAACAAATTAAATTACAAACTTCAGTCTTGTACAATTTTTTATTTTAAATCGTACTGGCACTAGTCAAATTCGAGGTATGAGCCGGATGAAAGAATTTACTTACCCGAAAAAAAACACCAGTGGGCTAATCATAGGAATAATTAAGCAAAATAGTGATGTCAATGTAGCTTAGCAAATATGTAGTGAAATAGTTCCCAGAGGATATCCTTATCTAAATGAAATGATTATGACCTCTCATTTCACATCGAGTTTTCAATTACAGTTTTGTCACAATTAAAAACTTTTATAAAAAGTCATATTTAATTTTTTTTTAACAGTTAAAAGCTCTCACATAAAGTTACATTTTAGTTCAAACTGAAAATTTAAATTAGCAAACTGAATGAGCTCTTGCTCATTAGAAACAAAAACAGTCAAGGATACAAAGGATGAAGCCTTGTTGAAGCATGATGACATCGTACTGAAAAGTTGTGCCAATAAACCATGTTACAAACAAAATGTCATTTTTCAAATTCAAATGAAACCATAACTCCGGATAACTTACCCCACATGGTATAACTGCTCCGGTTATTAAAGTAAGGAGGAAATTGCCTTTATTATTATTATTTTTTTTTTTTTCTGAAATGTCTGCCCATTAGGTCATTTTCCATCAACAAATTTATCAGCCCTAATATACTTGCTGTTAGCAGAGATATCATCTTCATATTGTTGGTCTTCGAATTGAATTCGGATGTGAAAGTGTGGCGGTAGGCGGATCGTATATAACAAGAATTTTCATAAAACATTTGAAATACTCTATAGATTATATTAATTTATGTACGAATAAATTAATCTCATTAATTTATTTATTAAGAACTCAATTACGAATAATACCCGGCGGCCGATTAGGATGATAACTTGAGTTCTTTGACCTCGAACAATCTTTGCTCCAAAGCTTTGTGTTTAGAAAACCAATGTCTTCCACGTCAATTCTTAGAATCCATGAAGACGTATGTGTGGGCACACATGAGACAAAATGGGTTACAATAAACACTCGAATTTCCACAAACACCAACGCATACACGATGTGGAATTTTTGGAGAAAAATTTTTCCTTCCCTTGCTCTAAGAGAATTTTGGCCATAATACTTTATTAGGTCAAAAATTGTTTCAAAAATTGTCACGAAAAATTTTCTATCATTCTCTTATTTATAGAGTAGAAGTCAAAATTCTAGAAGGAATCCAATCTCTAGCTCCAAGATAAAGCTTGTCAATTATCTCCTATTTGAATTTGAAATAAAATCTCCCATTCCCTTATCCTTAGTGTGGCCGGTCACCTTAGGAGATTCTCATCCCTGTGTGGCGCCAATTTGCAGATAGGGAAGGAAGAGAAAATCATCCTTTATCCTGTAGTCCAATTTTGACTCAAATTCAAATTGCAATTTAAGTCAAACTTAAATTAATTTGAATTCTAAATTGAACAACTTATCAAATAAGTTTAAATGGATAAATCTAGATGTGTTCAAATTCAAATTTAAATAATCACATTATTTAAATAATAATTAATTCTCAATTAATTATTTTTGAGTGTTTAATTTTAGAATTCTGTAATTCTAAAATTCCCATTTTACCCTTTGTGTCTGGTAGAATTACTAGGATGACGTGGGGACTAGTGGACCTATAATCTCGAGCTCTAATAAAATTAATAATTAATTAAAAATTTAATTAATTAATTAATTCTAATAATTACTCCACTATAAACTTAGAATTGCACTCTCGAAATTATATATATAAATTACTTCTAAACTGTGAAGTGTTCATTTGATATAGTCACTGCATATAGATCGATCCTCCATAAATAATTCATAATTAGAGCTAGGTAAAATCTGTTAACCTCTCTAATTATATCTTTATCCTTGAGTACCATTGATTCTCTAATGGACAGTGATTCATAAAATACATTCATGAATCGGAGCTCCTACTGGTCCAAGTACCGAATCAACCCTTAAGAGAATTATTTATCTACTTCTTTCTTAAGAAGGAATGGATTCCATCTCGGGTAATAACATTCCCGGCTACCTACTTCATCATGTCTCTAAAATACAAGGAATAGGATTCAGGATCTCAAAATCCGTACTGAGTAAATCAAAAGACACAAATCCATAAATAGGAGTCTGTTAAGAACTCAGGATTAAGATCATTCTATATATGACCATCGGTAGACTCAATTAGAATTTCTATACTTAACGGAAATTATTAGAAATTCATATTGTGTCTGTGTCCTTGTTCCACATAATCTCATTATGCGAAATACACTCATTCAATATCTCACCATATTAACAGGGCAGATAACACCATTCCATTCTAAATGGGAATGACATGTATTAATAATGTTTTAATTAAAGATTCTGAACTTTAATTAAATTCATTATGAACATTGCTTTTTGATTATTATCCTTAAACAACACTTATATACAATGTTTAAGGTTACATAAATAATCACGAAATTTTCATTGATATTAATAAAATATTCACAAATATATACACATAAAATGATGAATAAACTCTTTTATTAAATAAATAATAAATATCCTATTACATCTTATGCTTTTAGAATACCATTCCTAACACATGAGACTCTGAAGGATCATATCTATCCTCAAAAGTATTCCGCGAAAAAAGGTTTGAACTGCGATTTTCATGTCTATCCCCGTGTCGTCTATCTTTAGATTTGGACTTGTGTTCGGAAGTTAATCCGGAAGTTGATGATGTATTCTCGTAATACTTGGACATTATGGAAGATGAGGGCTTAGACTCATGACGCTTGGTCCACTTCCCTCCATCTCCTTTTGTTCCCTTCGGTGATGAGTCCAATCACTTGATCAATCGAGTCTTGGATTTCTGGGATAGTACTCTCTATCGCGTTTATCTCTACTGATGATTCTCTGATCGAGTCTTTTTGGTATTATGACTAATGAAATAATTCAATTTTTTTCAGACCTTGATTATTAAATGTCCAATTATTGACTCACACTAATTGATGAAGCATGGGACCCTTGAGCTTCCGTATTTTGCTTGAGCATGGGCTCAAGAGATTGTGGCCGAGCATAATAGTAAACATTATTTTTTTTTTCAAAAAATAAAAATAAAAAACAAAGTATTCAAAAAAGGAAATAGAAATAATAAAATAAATTATATTGTAATTAGCTAATCAACTAATCTCGCTCCTGCAATTGAGACTTAACTCTCTACGTAAACAAAAGCGCGAAAAGAGTTGTACCAATTATAACTAAGCTGCACATTTGTAAGCTTTTGGGTTCGCATGTTGTATGAAACAAAGATGCCCATCTTATATATATACAAAATGAGCTCATCATTCTTCCAGAACACTAATGGAGTACAATGAGGTCCCTCGCCCATAAACACATCTGCACATTTAGTCCAACAAAACGACTTTTTCCGGTGATCCAAAATCCAGATTTGAATCGGCTTTCCATTTGAATTCGGCGGTGTTAGCTTGCTTCCAGTATGCAAAAACAAAGTGATACGTTCATCCTACAAATCTAGCCTCCAGTTTATAATTGTTGCTCTAGATGCGGCTCCAAACAAATCATCAGCTACTGGAAATGGTATAGTTTGAAATCTCTCCTCACGCATATCAAATGAAATAAGCATTTTCTTCAAATAAAGTTCATCATATATTGACCAATAACAAACTCCTTTATGGTACACCTCACTGAGTAAAAGATGTAATATCAATTTCTATCTCCATCTTAATCTCTCTCAAAGATTCACCATGATTCCCACCCAAAGTACATACCTCAGCTCCGATGGGAGCATCAACATCGGTGCTATGGAGACGCACAACTCTGACGACTTTGTAAACATTGGAAATGGCATCGTAGCCGAATCCAGCCATTATGTGTTTTCCAAAGTTGGATCCAAAGCATGAACCTTGAAGAAGCTTGAATTCCCTAATTGCCGGATTACATAATACAATCTTATTTGTGCTCCTGTCTGGTAGGAAAACGATACCATCACAATGAAATCCATGTAAACCAGCTACAGATTCAAGCAAATTGAACTCTTTAGAATGGAAGCGAATCTGGTTATTGTCATGATCTGCTTCGTCTACAGTGAGAAATGAATTTATAGTTTCATGAAAACAATATGTGGTTTTGGTCCTCTTAAATAAGAATGGACGGCTTTTAGAATTCTTGAGATGCTTAGCCACAAACCATTGACTTTTCATAAGAGTGCTTATGAATTATTCCACGACTTCTGAACACACTTAAGCCCTAATAAAGACTTGGGAGGTAGCCATGACATGATTTCCACTACTGCCTTTTCAGGAAGATCACAAATTCTTGTTATTCTCCTTCAAAAAATGAACAACTTCATTTAAATATTCACAAAAACAACTTGATATTCAAGACTTAGAATGAAAGCAAGGTTCATAAAGAAGTTTCTATTATAAGATTAAATTGTAGTCATCTGATAAATTGAATTCTCAAAACTATCAAAACATATTTTATACACACACTAATATATATGGGTGAGTACTCATGTCAATTGAGTAAACTGTATCTATTTTCAGAAGACAACAATTCATACACGAGTAGAAAATTTTCTTTGCTTAATTTGTATATTGGAACTAGGTTGCATTAGTTACCATTGAACTCATAGTGTGTATTATAATTGTTAAAGAAAAGAAGGGACGACAATGCCTTATTTATGTTGTGCAAATTATGGAAATATTGATCATTGGGGTACGTACGTAGAAACTGATATCGAATTCTCCATGTTGTCTATTCAGTACATATATAATATATTGTATATAAATAAGCTCATTGATAACTTTGCGTTAGAATTAAAAAAACACCAATAAAACAAACATGAAAAAGCATAATCTCTTATTAACTGGCCATGTAATTATAGACAAGAAGGAAAAATCCCCTCACCTTGTATCATCGGGTTCGTCCATTATTGCCCACTTAAACGGCGAGGGCGAGGGCGGTGGCGGCCAATGGCGGGGTGGGAAGGACAGGGAAGGATCCTTGGCGGATTCTCCATGCGGTCGAGAATGGCCTCCAACATGGTGAGGGGAATTTCGGATCACGCTCGTGCACTTGTGAGCAAGAGTGAGACTGAAAGCCCAGTTTCCTACGGAATCGTCAATAAAGATAAAAGCCAAACGACGTTTAAAAAAAACGACATAAGCATGCAAACGACAATGGAGAGGCAAATAATATCAAACTGGAAATTCCAATTAAAACTTTAAATTACAGAAATGATGTTAGGTATTTAGTTGGCAATGTTTTGACAAGTAAATGGGATTTCAGCAATTCAAAAACCAACCTGCAATTCAAATGACTAGGCCAGCCTTTGCGTGAAGAAAGCCAAAAATCAGAAAACTAACTCCGGACTTAAAAATTGAAGATGAGGGCAAAGCTGCAGCAGGATCATGGGAGGATAAATTCAAACTGAATTGAAGATTTGCACTGAGAATTTGTAGCTAACTTGAATTATAATATAAACTGAAATTAAGTTTTGAAAATACTGGACAATATCTTCAAGAAGTATTCTAGAAGAAAATTATGACAAGGTCATGTCTTTATCAGAAATAAAAATAAAAATAAAATCAGTTTTTTTTTTTTTTTTTTTTTTTTTTTTTGAAGGAAGAAGAATTAAACTTCTACTTGAATAAATATAGGATTTCATCGTGCGGTATTAAAGATGAGTGGTGTTTGCTTAATAAAGACCACTTCATTGTTATAAACACATAGGTGATAATTACGAGAGGGAGTCTTTAAATTGTATAAGTGATTAGTGATTATAATTTTGATAATTAGTGTATGATTCAATGTCTTGGCGTGATCTCTTGAATATAGGTTTTTAACCGAATCACGTTAAAAATTCTCTGAGTTCATTTATTTACTGCTTTTGGTAAACTATTAATTAGATTAATTAATTTTCACTCAGTAATTTAATTAATTAATAGTGTTAAAGGAGTTGTTGCAACAATGTTCTACAACACTAACGTAAAACATTTCTTTCAAATGAAAACGACAATAGAATGGCGAACCACAAAACAAAATGAAACGAGAGAGTGAGAATGGCGATAACAACTTAAACGAATAAATTGAATCAACAAATATAAGTTTTAATGACAACGAGATTGCAAACGACGATAAAACAAATGATATCGTAACAAGCAATGAATGACAGTAGGGGGAAAAACTGCGAAGTGTGAACAACAATAAAAGTGAAAACGATAGATGATAATAAAATGGAAGAAGAAAGCGACAACAAAGTTTATGACAAAATAGAAAACAACAATAAACTCATCAACGACAATAAAAGTCAAACTAAAGAAATTGACTAAACAATAAAGCGAAAATAAACTGAAGAACGACAACAAAAATTCAAACAATAAGAAAAATGCAAGCAGGCTTCCTAATAATAAAATGTAGTAAAGCTCCCTAATAATAAAATGTAGTAAGTTAATCAACTAATCGTAGAAAATGCACGCAGGCCTCTAATAAAAATAACTCCACCAAGCTTAGGACGAAAAATAAAACAAAATAAAAAAACACCACCAAAACATGTAAGACACCCAGAAGGAAAGCAGTACTGAAGTTCCCAAAACGCCATACTTCTCGAAGTGTAATTCCAAATTCCTGCTAAGCTGGATCCATTATTTAAGAAGCTTGAGACAACTAAATAAATAAAAATATGACGTTCCATTAGGATGAACTAATCACCTTGCACGTCCCGTACAATTGATACCAAACTCTCTACGTAAACAAAAGTGCGAAAAGAGCTGTACTTATGACAATTAAACTGCACATTTCTAAGCTTTTGGGTACGCAAGTTGTACGAAACAAATATGCCCTGTTTGCGGTAAAAAAAATATATACATTAGATGATGGATCACATATGGGCGTTAAAAAGTGAGAAAATAAAATTTTGTACCGGCTCAAATAAAATTTTGTACTGACCCAAATAAAAAAAAAAGAAAAAAGGGATTAAAATTACACGTATTAAAATGTGGAGTAGTGACAAAAAAAAAAAAAAAAGTGCAGAACGTGGAGTGATAATAAAAAAAAAAGGTACAAAACGTGGAGTGATGGTAAATAAAGTACAAAACGTGGGAGAATGGTTAAAAATTGATACGGAATTCTCTTATATAAAGGAAGAAGCAAGAAAAAAAGAAAAAAAAAAGGGCTTTTATGAAGTCATCCAAAAGCGTGTGTTTGCTGTGTAGAAAAGTGAGAGAAAACCAAAAAAGCAAAAAGCGTGTGTGCAGTGAAGTGAGAGAAAGAAAAAAGCGTGTGTGCAGAGAAGTGAAAGAAAAAAAGAAAACAAAAACAAAAGGTGCAGGTGTATGGGGAAACGTGAGAAGAAAGAAAGAAAAAAAAAAAACAAAAAGGTTGCAGGTGTGTGCAGAGAAGTGAGAGAAAGAAAGAAAAAAAAAAAACAAAAAGGTACGTGTGTACAAGTGACAGTGACGTGAGGGAAAGAAAAATATACATGCTTAAAAGCAATATTTCAAAACAACAAGATAAATAAATATTTTGATATTTTAGTCTTCTTCTGCACTAATGGTTTTAGTTTTTTGTATTATTAAACAAATACAATGCATTTAAATCAAATCCTATATACACTTTAAATTTCATGTACGTCTTATGGAGTGAGATTTCTTATTTGTAATCAGTGCTGAACTTCTGGGCGGCGGGCTTGCCCGATGCCCAAAAATTTTCGGGCACGGCAGGCAGGCCCCTCTCGCCGCCCGACCCACCGCCCGAAAATGCTTTTCTTCGGGCACGGGCTCGGGTAGCCCGAAAAGAGTAAGCCCCCCGACAGCCCGCCACCGTGGAGAAGCCGTCCCCCGCCGTTCGTCAGATTTTTTTTGAATTATCCGGCAATACTCGAAGCTGCCCGAATCTGTGCCCGAATTGCCCAAATTTTTTGTGACCGTTGCCCGAATTTTTCCCCGTGCCCGAAAAATGCCCGATTTGTTTTGACCGTTAGCCCGAAAAATGCCTGAATTTTGAAAAAAAACAGTCTTTTACCTGAACCCAAACCCGAACCCGAATTTTTGAACCCAATGGTCGGATTTTGTGTTGATGCCCGACCTGCCCGATTTTTGCCCGAACTGCCAGAAAATTTTGTAGCCGTTGGACCTGAATTTTTGGGGGACAATTTTTTTTTTTTCAACCCAAAAATTTTCCTATAAATACCCCCCCTCCCCCCAACCATTTTCCTCACCCCAAAACTCTCATTCTCTCTCAATTTCTCTTAATCTATCTCAATTTCTCTTAATCTCTCTCAAATCTCTCTTAATCTCGCTTAAATCTCTCTCGAATCTCGATCTCTCTTAAGCTCTCTCAAAGCGCTCTCAATCTCTCTTATTTTTCATAATGGCTTCTTTTGGTTATGGTGGTGATATTCCCATTGATGCCCAATTCAACATCGAAGAAGGGCAATTTCTTAATGTTTTTCAATCGCAGGAATCGCAAACTATGGAAAGAGTTGCTGATCAAACTGCAAATCCGACCCCTGGTGGATGTACTAGAGGTCGGGGACGCAATGGTGGTGGCACAAGTGGCCATGGAGCAGAGGCAAGCGGTAGTGCTAGTGCAAGTGTTGCAAGTTCTAAGAAGAAATGCAAGCGCACCTCAGCAGTTTGGGAGCACTTCAACACATTCGAGGATGTTGATAATAACGGTAACATTAAATACGTAGTTCGATGTAAATATTGTGGTGAGAAATTACAAGGTAACACTATTCACGACACTACACACTTAAGAAGGCACTCTGAAAAGTGTCTTCAAAAGCAAGGAGGCGGAGATCAGCTCCGCCAAACGCAATTATCATTTGACCGCCAAACTGGCGGTCTAAGCACGTGGAAATATGATCCGCAAGTTGATGGTATGGAAATGGCATGATTAATAGCCACATTAGATCAACCACTAAGTTTTCCTGAACAAAGAAATTGGCAACGTTATATTAAAATTGTACATAATCCTATTACACAATTTTTTTCTAGAACTACTCTTAGGAAAGATGCATTAAAATTATATAAACAAGAAAAGGAAGCATTAATCAACCTTCTACACTCTACTAGTGGTTGCGTTGCGTTAACGGCGGATATTTAGTCCGCCGTTGCCAACAAGGATTATTTAGCTGTAACCGGACATTATTATAAAGGTTTTGATTTGGATAAGAGAATCTTAGGTTTCAAATGTGTTAGGATCACATACTGCCAATTTAATATATAACACAATTTTATCTGTTATTGATGAATATAGTTTAAGAGATAGAATAATGCACATAACATTAGATAATGCAACTGCAAATACTAAAGCAATAGAACTTTTTGAAAATGATTTAAGTTTATTTAGTAATAATGATAGTTTCCACCAACGTTGTGCATGTCATATAATTAATTTAATAGTAAAATCCAGTTTAAAATCAATGTTAGGTCATATTAAAAGAATTAGAGATAACATTGCTTGGATTCAAGGTAGTAATCAAAGAATACAAGATTGGTTTAGATTTCTACAAGCATGTAATCAAAATCCTAGAGCATTAGCCTTAGATATGCCCATAAGATGGAACTCCACTTACATAATGCTTGAACAATGCATCCCCTATAAAGATGCTATAACAAATTATGTTAGTGCAAAATTAGGAACAGGATTTATAGATGAAATTGATTGGCAAATTGCCGAACTTTTGTATAACTTTTTAGGTAGATTTCATGAAGTTACCTTAAAGCTTAGTGGAACTTATTACCTAACTTCACCATTAGCATTAGGAGAACTTTTAAAAATGTCTATTTTATTTAGTGAATTTAGGACACATGAGGTTTTAGGAGTTCCTATCGCCTCTATGGAAAAGAAATTTAAAAAATTTTGGTCTAAATTACCCATGTTGTATGGTTTCGGTGTTATTTTTGACCCCAGATTAAAATTAGAAGGTTTAGAAAGTGGATTAGATAACTTTGGTGAATTTTTAGTTATAGACACTACTGACCAGTTTCCTAATATAAAGGAAAAAATATATTCTCTATATATCTCTTACGAAAGTAGGTTTAGAAACACACCTCGTGTTGAACAACCGCAACAACGAGACGACAATCTGCATTCATTCTTGAATGTTTTCGGGTTGTCTAAGAAGAAGAAGAAGAAGACGACGACGACGAGTCAAGGTCAAGAAGAATCTGAGAGTGGAAGTGGATCTTCATCAAGAGGTGGCGGCGGGTTCAACGAGTTAATGGCATCCCTGAGTGAGGGCTTAGTTGTAGACAGTAGTGAGGTGTTTGATTTGGTTGAGTGGTGGAGGGCACGAGCATTAACTTGGCCGATCCTAACACGACTGGCAATGGATATTTTTTCAATCCCGGTCTCCACTGTTGCACCCGAACAAGCATTCAGTACAACCGGCCGAATACTTGAAGAACGGAAAAACGCATTGCAGCAGGATATTGTTGAAGCTTTGGTGTGCATCAAGGATTGGGACCGTTCCGACCAACGCTTACACGATACAATCTCACCGGCAAACCAAGAATGGATCGACGAATTTAATAGATTAACTTTTAATTTTCAAGATGATCCTTCTGCTTCATCTTGATAATTTCTTTGTAAATATTTATTTACTTTGTAATTTTTAATTTGTATAGTGTTTATTGTAATCTTGTATAGACTTTGTAAGTTCATCAAATTTGTAATTCGTCCCACAATGATTGTACTCTTTTTTCCTTACCAAGTTTTTATCCCAATTGGGTTTTTCTTGGTAAGGTTTTTAATGAGGCAATCATGAATTACAAATTTAAAAATCAATGAAGAAGTAATTTTTTTTATATAGTTCGTTCGTGTGTTCAGTGTTCATTTCATATTTCAAATTGTAATATACACATTGTAATTATACAAATACTTATTTCAACAACATAAAAATATAATATAAAAAAAAAATCGGGCAGCCAGTCGGGCATCGGGCAGCCCGACCGGGCACGGGCAGGCATCCTCTGCCCGAAGCCCGTTCATGGTAATTTTCGGGTCGGGTTGGGCAGCCCAAAAATTCAGGCAGATCGGATTCGGTCATCAGGCAAAAATTTGGACTTTTCGGTGGTCACAGGCGGGCCGTCCAAAGTTTCAGCACTATTTGTAATACTCTTAATGAATTCCTAATGCACTCATGGTGTGTGATTTCTCATTCTTGTCACAATCCTAGGATTATCACCAAGACTTGAATTTCTTTTTAGAGATCTATATAAGTTAAATGTGATTTTAAAAAAATCAATGATTAAAAGTTTCCTAAATTATTTGTTACGATTGGTTTGAGTGCAATTCAAGTGAAAAACTCATACGAATTACACTTTAAGGATCGGCATATGAGAAATTATGTGCATATGATCTATATGAAAATATTCATATGAATCACACGATACCTGCCAAGAAGCAATCAAAGAAGGAAGATTAAAAAAAAACAAGTAAACCCGCACCTTCAGTCTTTTCTCAATATCTTCAAAGTACCAATATATATATATATATATATATATATATATATATCCACAAAACCCGCCACT